TGTAATGATGGCGCGTACTTACAAGAGTGGACAACGGCGTGCAGAATGCCATGACTGCTGGACGGGGGAGATGTTTGGCCAGGTTCCAATCTTGGAGTCGGACGAGGAGGTTTGCAGCAAAGTCCTCTCATGAAATCAGGCCATCGTTGTGCTGACAGTGTTCGAGATTGATTGGACGAGAGGCAACGAGAAGACGTTGGGAATGCAGAGACTGGGGGATGGAAATGGCAGAAAATGCGGAAAAGGAAGAACGGACGTTGGTCTGGACCAACCCAAGAATACGTGGAGTCGTGAACTCCGGCCGGGACCTTGCCAAGGAGGAAGGCTTAGTCATGCCTGCTTGCCTTATCTGTCACCAAAAGAGGTAAAGTGCGTAAGTGCCTACCTGCCGAGTGGAAAACATCAATATCTCGGGCGTTGAAGCCGGTGATCTTGAGTAAGAACGAGGCATGGAGTTTACTGTTACTGTGTTCCCCACCTCTTTCCTCCTCTGCCCAAACAGTCGAGTGGCAGGACAAGCAACAGGGTCGTCACTTCTTCGTGATGGAATGAAATCAGTGTGCAACCTTGCTGCGAGAACCCCTTGGCTCTTCCTCTCCCGCACCACCCACACCACAATCAGTCTCGCCCTCTCATCATCGTCATCAGCTTTCGGTAACGGCTTGAAGGTACCCTCATGGCCCCATAGGCCCAGCTGGCCCCTTTCCGTCGACCCGTTCGTCTTACGGGTTTGAGACAGCCTGTTGGGTTTTCTCTGCAACACCATCTTCTTCTCTAGCAACCATCTTTTTCTCTGATTCTCGCGAATTGGGATGCGCCCGAGAAACCGCGGCCGCACAATACGATGACCTTACCAGACGTGCAAAGAGTCAAAGCTAGCCGTCAGTCGCACAAATCTCAAAGGCTAGTCACCGCGGCCTTGCCATGCTCCGCGATGCACATCTCGAAATGTGACCTATCAGCACCCTAGTCGGTGTTGTCAGGACGCCAGCGGGGCTTAGCTTTTGAATCCCTGGCATACATTCGCTGCTCATTACCTTCCGGGGCATCCCAGACCCTAGATACGATGTCCGCGATCAACACCTAGCCTTAAATTCGGAATATGAACGGTGCCAAGTGGCCTGCATCACAGCCAATTCCCCGGCGTGGGTGTGCGGTCGGTCCCGAGTCCAGCTCAATCCTCCCCGCAACGGCTCAAAGATGAACCGCCCACAAGACAAGGCGAGATGTTGTCAGACTTTCCAATCCCACCTCGCGTTGTCAGTTGCGATACATTGACTGGGATTCTCATGCAACTCTTTGAACGACAACAGCTTCAGGCAGTAGATCATTTACCACCTTCGTTACCAGTGAACACTGTCTTTTGAGTATCATCATTGTAAGCTTTGTTTCTCCTCATTATCAGATCGATCATCATAGAGACTACGGATCCTAGGCCCTCCTGATTTGTCGATTCGCTTATCCGCTTTCTTCTGTCAACGTTGTCTCGCGGAGACTGACCCCGTGGACGATATTTGTGTAACCTCAGATCCCTTCCCTCCTAGACCATGTCTCACCCTGCGCATCTTCGTATTCAATTCAAGGTTCTTCGCAAGCTAACGTCTTTCAAGCCATGGCTCTTGACTATGCACGAATTCTCGTAGCTATCGTGCCCTTCGCAAGGGTTTCTTACGCCCGACCCAGGAACGAGCTTACTCTCGCCGCCCGGCCTGTCGCCCGCAAAATGTACACGGCGCAGAAGTATTGCTCTGTCTCCTACGCCAAATCGGCCATCGAGCAACCCCCACCAACTCACAGCAAACCATGTTGCCCCGCATTACACCCACTCGCCATGCCATCCCAAAGGAGGCTCTGCATTCAATATTGGAAGCAGTGGCTTGCTTGCAGGGAGCAGTCCAGCTCTAGGCCATGTTCTGGCTGCCTGAAATCTCCACAAGATCATCCACGTTTTGGTGTTCACCGAGGCCTGCTTCCAGAGGCAAAACTTCCTGCTAGATAAGAGCTGCCACGTCTGTTTTGCCCAGTGACGCCCAAAGTGCACGCCACCGCGATTGGAGCCAGGTTATGATCGAATCCTTGATCGGAGAGTTTCGCGACTAGCGAGGCTGACACTGCGTGATACTGCTGACTGCCAATGGCTATGGTTCGTCCGATTCGACGGCTGAACGGAAGCCCTTGTATCGAGCTTCTCCGAGGGCAGTATTTTCATTTTCTAGTGGCGTTACCTTGCATCAAACCTTGTGGCTATCATCGCGTCTGGCAGCATTCAAAGTAGCTTCCCGCTGTCATTACCCTGGTATCCGAATTGACCGAGGCGAAGAAACCATTGCTCCCTGGCCTCAATTCCGAACTCATGGTGAAGCTTTCTGTCGGTTCCCGGCATCCACAAACACAGGTTCCGTCGTGTTTGTTGAACACAAAAGTTGATACTTCTGCTTTCAATCTTTAAGAGTCGGCGACTCAAAAATCGGAGTTCTTCTCGTTACATCAAATGCCACTGTAGATGAGCATAGTATTCACTTATTGTCATAAGCAACGGCAATTCCTCGTCGATCGGTTGAATCTATCTTTGGGGTAGCTTGCGGTACATCTTACCAATCTCCAAGGGTCGGCTCAGGTGGGTCACTATCTGTATGTCAGAGTATCATGGCATTAGCAGGGGGACGACACGCTGTAGTCGACGTCATGATTAAAGAGTAGAGAACCTTCTCCTCAGATCCCGCGATGTATCGAGTCCTCAAAATCCAGAATTCCAGCAGGCGGAAAATTTGTGGCGCAACTCATTGATGGCAGGCTTTGTATGTGTCAGGAACCATTGGGCTCAGAGGTCCCAAGTTGTCTGACACAAATTCTCCACTCTAGAGAAAGCCTTCAAAGTAGCACCGCGGACCGCAAGACGGAGGATTATCCAAGTCAGCAAATCAGCACAGCTGAATGTAAGACGGTGGATGGGACAGAAACGGTGTTGCATAACGGTGCGGCAAGTCACCGTTGAATGCCTGTTACTAACAAGAATGGAGGGGGACAATCGCTATCTACGGACATATTTGTGCTGGAGTGCAGCGTCGATCTGGGATTCTTGTCATCATGTGAGTAGGCAGCGATGCAGAAGCGGAATTGACGATGCGGAAGTGCGCTTCAGGCGGGGCGACCGCTAGCAATCACCTTGTAGATTTTCCATCATGTCTGCTTCAGTATTCCCGTATTCATGATATGTCGCCTGTAAGAGACACAGGTATTCGTATTATTACCCGAAAGGGTAACAAGCCGGTTCAGTGCCGGCGTACCGGCAGTATCCCAGACCGTGACATCGGGGGCTCCGTAGTGCCGGACGGTGCTCCACCACCGGCACTCGGGAAACAGTGGGGCTACGTTAGGTCTCAAGACGGCGCACCTCCCATTAGCCGAGATCCGGGGCTTAAACCGTCTTCTATCATCAGCGATTGCCAGCCTGTTGACGTAGCACAATGGGAGTGGCTGATGTTCCAGAAATCTTACGATAGGTGTTCTGCAACAAGTATGACGAGCACATGGCATTGGGTGGCATTTTGAAAGCAAATGCCGGATGGATTCGGGAGTCTTAGCGGGTGAGATTCTTGCTTCCTTTGCAAAGAACACGCCGTCAGCTTTGGTATGGTACGACTCTGACGAGTCGTTATCGCACCACTGTCAAGCCAGCTCAGAGCTTCCCCGTAGGACTTCAGCAATGCCGCATAAGAAACTTACTTAGGGGCTGGGAGCTATCCCTCCCTCGATAGATGCCAGCGTCAGCGCGTTGGCAGCGGATTCACACACACATACGCTAGAGGGCTGTCAGCGGAAGTAATCCTCTGGGCTTGCGCCTCCTCTATTCCTGATGCGCAGTCCGGCTTAGACCGTCAAGGCTTCCAGTAGCATACGTTGTTTTGCCCCCCCCTCTGCTATACCATTGGATTCCTGTACAAGTGTATTTGGATAAACGTGAGAAGCTTACTAGGAAAGCCCGTGATCCTCCTTGTTTCGAGATGATTACGGTGTCGTTGTATCTAGCTTTGGTGGGGAGAGGAGGGGGAGCGGAGTGACTAAGTGGACGAACGTGCCCAAACCCAAACCCAATTCTCTCACTCGTAAACCAGCAACCAGGACTTCATGGAAGACCATCGTGATGCCAAATTCAGAAAGACTCAATCGGGTTTACTTACCTGGTCCTTGGTATGCTGACGCTCGAAGAGGGATTTGACTTTTTTCCTCTTGCTATATCGGCCCTTTCTGCCCTGTACAAGAGGTACTTTGGCCTCCAAGTATCCGATACCTTGCCCTAATAGAACATTTGAACACTGATTTTTGCCAGATTCTCCCCGCTTTCTATCTGAAGTTTCCCGATCTTGACGAACGGTCTGGCCCGATGGTTGCGGGAGAGGGCTGAGCATGTATTTAAAACCAGCGACTGATGGTGGCGTGAAGCTTTGGTGCCGTCTCTGCCGGAGGTGTTGTCTGTTGTTCCTGCGAGCGAAGATGGCTTATAGCGGCCATTGAGGCTGACAGAGTGGTCACGATACTTTGTAGATGGAGTTTTGGAAATCTCACTCTTAGGTTATGGTATCCGAGCACACATCAGGTCTAGACCATCAGATCATGGATATCACAATGGCCGTCACACGCTTAGTGACCTGAAGCCTCCCTTATTCGATGCATGAGAAAGGAACAAGTTCAATGTGGATTATAGCATAGAGAATGCACGCTCAAGGTAATGAAAATCTTTCTAGTCAAGCTCCGCATTGTATTATCATGTCTACGTACGCCTGTCCTAGGTACTATGTAAAATTCCCTACTCCTAGCCCCCGTATTAACCGACCTAGTCCCAGTCCCATGGATCACAGGCGTCCGGCTCGCCCACCGATCCAATGCATTAAGATATCACTGAGGCAGCCCCGCACGGATAGAGATGCCGGTGAAGCTCGGTCTGGGGTGCACTTATGTGCCGCCACCGGTGACCTTGATGACTTGACCTATGGCAGACGTTAGAAAATGTCTAGGATGAGCAGCTTGTCGAGGATGGAGTTTCGAAACATACCGTTGATCCACTCGCAGTCAGAGTGGCAGAGGGAAGCGACGACCTTGCCAACGTCGGCAGGGACACCGACGCGCTTGAGGGGGTTCATGTTGGCCAGGCCCTGGTCGATGATCTCGATGGGCATACCCTTGTAGCCGTTGGGGACGTAGTGCCACGAGTTCTCGTCGTACATATCCGTCTTGACACCGCCGGGGGCGATGGCGTTGACGGTGATGCCCTTGGCACCGCAGTCGACGGCGAAGGCGCGGGTGAAGCCCTCGACGGCGGCCTTGGAGCCGGCGTACAGGGCGTGGTTGGGGATACCACCCATCTGGGCAGCAATGGAGGAAGTGAGGAGGATGCGGCCTCCGCGTCCGCAGTGCTTCAGGCCCTGCTGGGCGACAAAGAACTGGCCGCGGGTGTTGAGGTCAAAGATGTTCTGGAAGAGCTCCTCGGTGACCTCCTCCTCGGGGCACCAGACCTCCTTGCCGGAGTTGGAGATGACGAAGTCCATGCGTCCGAAGTGGGCGACGGCGCGGTCGAAGAGGTCGACGACCTGAGCGGGCTTGCTGATGTCGGCCTTGAGGGCGATGGCCTTTGATCCGAGCTTCTGAATCTCGGCGACGACCTCCTCGGCAGCGCCGGCGGAGGAAGCGTAGTTGACGACGACGTTGGCGCCGCGCTTGCCGAGCTCGACGGCGATGCCGCGGCCGATACCGCGGCCGGAGCCGGTGATCAGAGCGACCTTGCCGACGAAAGGACGCGCCGCGTCGTACTCGGCAGGCTGCTGAGCAGCGATGTTGTCAGTTGCGGAAGGAGCCATTGTGTTTAAGTCAATGGCGAGGAGAAGAGAAGGGAAAGGAAAGGATGGGATGAGGATAAAGGAAAATCCAGGCAGCTAGAGCGGTTGAGAAGAGGAAGTTATATACAGCAAGTCAACACAATGTATAGAGTGTAGTCCCCGAGTTGACGCTTTGTGGTTAAGGGCGAAGAACCGAACGCATGTCCGCCCGGTTGCCCGCCGCACCTCCGCCGGGAAGCGAAACGCCTTGCATTTGGGTGTGGGTTCAGCTAGGATCGGGGCCCGGGGACATTGAGGGAGGCAAGCCAAAGGGCTACCTTACCTTGCCTAGAGGACAATCAGGATGGGGGAGGTCCACGCGTTCGCGCCCCCGGCGACGCTTCTTCCTTTCGCGAAAGAGCGGCGAAGGAGGACAGCCCGTCGTCTTCAGATCAGACGCCACTACCTATGTGAGTCTAAGTCTGAGTCTGAGTCTAAGCCAAAGCTTTAGCAGCAGCGAAACGCTAGAACATTGTGTTTACTTCGCTGATGCAATGTATGAAATGTGATCTCATATTGTTGGTGAAACTTCCTTGGATTACTCTTGGTTTTGGCGGGTTGCTATTAGAGATCCTCAATGGTTGGCAGTTGCTAGAGTGTTGGAGTTCATCGGTTCTCTGGATTCGGAACTCCTCGAAGCCCGGAGTCAACCCCCGGAGTATTGGAGGAGACTCACGAAGAGTCGAGTTGTGGGAAGCCACGGAGCACAACATGGCACCAGATCCTCCTAATTCTCTAGCCTTGTTCGTTGTGTATACTCTCCTTTGGCTATCTTTAGGTCATGAAAGGGGAGGACCAAAGGCTCGTCCGCCCCTGGTTGCCGTAGCACTCGCACGTACGAAGTTCTTGTTCCAACTGAACCCGCAATGGTGATCCGACGACTAAAACGGCGGTAGCGTCGCGTTTAGCGGCCCTACGGTCGAAAGCCATGTCAGGGCGGTCGCGCGGCGCCAGGAACCGGTGCCCCTCGCCCGTCGCCGCCACGGCGGGGCCCCCACCCCCCCCCCCCAACGGAGGTCCGGTCGTAAAATAGATACGTACCCCTAGGGGCCCAGTGTACCAGCTTACTCTCAAAGGACGTTATCCATGACCCCATACAGAAATCCCGTGACATTGAACGGTCGTCCGTTGCTGTGACTATCATCAGAGACATCTGATTGTCGACTCTCGCTAAATGTCATAAACGCGAAGGTCCGAATCCCATTGTGGAGGCCAACTTGATACCGCAATGTGCCTTTCGTTCGTGATGTTGCAGACATGGCTTGCTTAGTCACCATAATTTGTAGTATGTGTTTGTGTATGTGTGTGTGTGTGGGTCTCCCGGGAGTATCCACACCTTCCCGTGATGCCCCCCCACGAACGACTTCAACGAAGACGACGTCTTTGGATCAAGACGAGAATCAAGTCAACGTTTCATACTTCCAATCTACAGCTGTGACGTTTGGGGAATATAATTTCGAGGATTTGCGATGGTCACAATGACTTCTCTAAAGAACGGTAGGGGCCGGCATAGGTGTTTCTTGTCGTCCTCAATCGATGCCTTTCACTCTTGTTACAGGACGCCTTCAGGGCATACAAAGTAGATAATGGAGTATAGTTGCGCTTCTCCACTAAGTAAAATACCAGTCATAGAGTTGTGATTTCGAAAGTGACCAAGCATCACTATCGCGCTCTCATCCAATGTTAACTTACCCCTTCGGTCCTTCCGCTCGCTGTTGGCGTACCAGACGTCAAGATAGGCTGGCAGCTAGAGAGAATAAAGGAGAGACGAACAGTAAGCAACATATCATCTATCATCTGATGGAGAACCTAGTTTTAACAGTCAGATCGGCCTGGACCGGTGGCCCTCAATCCTTTTACGAGAGGCATGGCCAGACCGGCAAGGTCAATACACTCCGTGCAAGTGCCCGACCAAGACTGAAGGAATGGCTTTTAGTTGCCTCAGAGTGCTAGGTGCAAAAGCCAATGCGTTCTTCATTTATCCTTGACAACGGCCCGCGGCTCAACATTACGGTGCAGGCCGGCTTTTCCATAACTTCGCCTCGACTTTGTTTGATACCAACAAGAGCGAATTCTGAAGATTAGGATAGAATGTTTAAAAGAGCGAAGCGCGAGATCACGAAGGCATGCAACTACTCTGAAGGCGTTGAGACTGAGATTCCCGCGCAATAACCTGCCTCTCGTGCGCCGGCTGAACATGCAACATCAACTCATTCGCTTGGCCTTACCAAACGCATGATCCTGCCAACCGCAACTCAATCAGGCTTCTAAGCGCCTTCATATCTCCAGCCTGATGAATTTCTGCCTTCGGTATTAGGACGATAAGTTTTCTGCAATGCTGTACGATGAAAACTTGTAAGGGATATGGAGCCGTAGCCTCGGGTCTAGAGCTTTGACTGGCGTTTGGCAGCCCGGTCATGACACGCAGGCTTGAGGTAGAAGGGAACGCAAGGTCTGGGCTCTTGACAGCCGGCTTGGTGCGTCGTGTTTTTCTGCTGTGGACTGGCCATGGCTTCGAATATTCAAACCGCTTCGGGCAGATGCTCGGTCTGGTTTGCAGCTGATAAGCAGCGGCCGAGTCTCCTTCAGACGAGAGTCATCAATGTCTCGGCGTCAAGAAGAGGCCTTGACCATACATTGTTATCGTAAACTATCACCGTATCTCTGTTCATTCCAAAGCTGATTGGATATTTGTTTACCTTGCGGATACAGTATCCTTACATGGCAACATTGAACATCGCCTTTGCAGCCTCGGCTCTCGGGACGCCCCCGATCAATGCGCCTTCTTCGGACGATGCACGGTTGGGCGATTACCTGAGCCATGTCGAGAAATCAAGCACTGCCTCTAAACACTAGACTAAACAAAACAAGAAGGTGAGAAAGATGAGGAAAGCGAGACAGCAAGGATTGTCAACGCGTTCCAAATATTTCGTGCTGCGGTCCCAGAGACGGCTCCATGTCGGCGCCGACAGGGCACCGCTCCATGGAGCCGAGCCAAAGCCAAAATGGAACGGCCTCACATTCATCGGAGGCCGATGCCATCCATGGTTTTGAGATCAGCCGAATAAATGCGGCCTCCGACAATTCACCGCTGCCGCGATACTCTAGTAGTCAGCTCGAAAGAAAAAGAAAGAATCTCGGGTCCGCCATCGTTTCGGTGAACCACGATCCCTTGACAAGAAACCATTGAACAAGCAATGGACCGGGCGGACCACCAAACTCTTCTCTCGCGTGTACAGGGAAACGAAACTAATCCATTCCAGTAACTACTATGTAAGCAAGCAGCATTTTTCCCATTGCAAAACATTTCCAACAAGCTTAATTTGACTCGAGTAGATATCTGGGCGCCTTGCCCACGTCCCATGCCGAACACCCCACCATCCCGGTGTGAAAGGCGGATCTTGGCAATCTCCCGTCAAACTCCCTCTCTGTTTAAAGAAACAAATAAAAAGTCGTCTGATAGCCTAACACCGAAAGCGAACGAGGCTGGCCTCCCGAAGAATCCGATGTCTCCGCGTTCCCAGCGACGCTACTCGCCCGCCAATCGGCAAGTTGTGGGCTCTCCGTCGAGCACACCCTCCCGAGAGAGAGAGAGAGAGAGAGAGAGAGAGAGAGAGAGGAAGAGAGAGAGAGGGAACTAACTTAGCTACGTAATCGGAATGTCAAACTTAACGGTTTTCAGAACTTGAGATGACTTTTCTCTTTCCTTTCGGTTTGCGCGTCACTCTTTTCAAGGAAAACCACACAAACACACACTTGGTAGAAATAGGATTCAAGCAGTAATCCATCGGTTCCCGCTTCCCCCTCCCCTTTTTTCTCTGTTTCTCAAGGACAACCCCTTACCGGAGTAAGTTCCGACTCGGCCACCTCGTCTAGGGGACCTCGGGTCGGATTCCTAAGCAAGTCCGCTCAGACTCTTGACTCTCGTTTTCACATCACACCCTCATGTCAAAAAAGGGACTGTCAAAACGCTAGGTGTCTGTCATAGGAATCCTTCGTAACTCTACCAGCAAGGACAGCCCTCGCCCTGTAGGGATATCGGCCCGTATGGCTCGATCTTCCCCTTGCCCTGTCGATCACGAGCACTACAATAAGAAAACGTTCTCACAAACGTTGCTCGCATACATCTCTCCCGTCACAAACGGATTCATCTATTCTCTATCAAATAAGAGGCTGGAAGTCTACCAGCTACGACGCTGTGAAACACTGCATGACCCCCCCCCCCCCTCCCTTTACCTCTCGTAGCCCGTCCACTCGAACTCGGAGTATTCTTCGGAAACTCGCATTTTCTGTCGTGAACCGTTACCCTTTGGATGCTCTTCTCGGTTTCGGGGGATGGAAAATTACACGGCGGCCGTCTCAGTCAAAATTGTAGACCCTGACTCTCCATAAAAGAAAGTCACAAAAGTCCGTCACCCCGTTAAGGCGCCTTTGTCCCTCTCCATCCGACTCTCCGCTCGTACTGCATCCAATATCCCACGCCTGCCGGGAAACTTTGGAACCGCATGGGTAGTCATTGCCCGCGGGTTTCGGCCGATTGAGAAGCAAGCTTTTGGCCGTCGTCGAGGCGGTTACGTCTCCTCTCGATATGGGTCTCCTTGGAAGACCCTTGGTGTTATTGAAGTGGTGTGTACTTGCGTTCACGAGACAGCGTAACAAACATCATCATACATCAACCCTTCCTCTGAACCACTTACACCCATTTTCTGAAGCCATACAGTGATGGTTCATGTTTTGCATTGTAGATCTCCCGTTTTCATAATGCAAGAGTATGCATCTTACTCTTCATTTAAAACTGAGCATGGGAGGTCGATGGTATGAAGAGGGGTGGGATGAGGGGCACACCTTGTTGACGACGAGCTTAACAGCCTTTTTGGCCCATCCTGCATCCCATTCCTGCCCGTCATCCCTGCGTCGAGTCTTTAAGTGGTGTGCCGTGAACGTCTCGCTGGCGTCTTGGCTTGGCCTTATGCTCCCGGATT